AGCGCATTGCAGTAATCCATTCTAGAGGTGACCAAGGCGTGGACCACCCCGGCCAGATCTGCCTTCACGAGGACTTGCCTTCAAACACCGGTTTAGTATACTTTCCCAGCATGAACGCATTCCATTGACCCCTAACCTCCCTCTTGTTAGCAAGCCTTGCAATGCGGTGAACTTTGAATTGTAAGCGATCCTTCCTGTCTAGATCTTCATAGTTCTCAAGATCGGATAGCTCGTTAGCTGCCTGAGAATCATCAGGCTGGGAGCCATCCTCCTCCATCTGCACCTGGCTAGTTTCCCTAACATCAGAAACATCTTCTGAAACATTCCTTGCCATGGGAAACTGAACCTCCTCAGATTCTTCCTCAAAAATAACAAGAACATCTTCATGAATCTGAATCCCATCATCTTCTGCCTGAGGCTCCAGCTGAACCACAACACACATTGAAGCGGTGTCAAGCTGCATGTAGACACGACCTCTGACTCTGGAGAAAAGGACTGGCTCATTCAGCCATTGCAATGCATTTGGTGACCTTAAGCAAGTCACACTATCCTGGCCTCATCAGAAGGTGATGGTGCCAAATCTCAGCGTGGGAGAATTGCCAAGACATGCCTAATACGAGAGGTTCGCCGTAAATCAGAGTTAACGTCAAGGCAAAAAGAACAACATTAACAAATCCCGGTGAGTCATGTTTTAGTGTGCCATAATCGCATTTTAAGACCCAGGATGGATGCTGTACATCAGAACCCATTCATCACGGCTCCACCGCCCTGTTTGCACAAAAGTTTTCGATGGTTTTGCAAACATGGGTTGAAAAAAGACTTCATTGCTCTCTCTTGGTAACACAGAGACAAGCAACATAGCTTCGGATCCAATGCCAAATTAGGGAAAATATACCTTGATTGGAGACATTGCTCCAGATTACAGTATGCAAGAAAATTTGGAAAATGTTCTGTTCCTGGTTTGTAAGTGTTATTTCCTGTTTAACTGCCCAGTCCTTACTTCAAAAGACATTGTTCAACTCCAGAAACTTAGTTCTTTGTGTCACAAACTATATTTTTATTTATTTACTGAATTTATATTCCGCTTTTCTCACCCCTGGGAGGACTCATAGTGGTGTCCATCAAATACACCAGAGTCTCGCTTATCCAACATAAACGGACTACCAGAATGTTGGATAAGCGAAAATGTTGTTAGAGGGGTCACCAAAGACCATCAAAAAACACATTGTCAAAGGCTTTCATGGCCGGAATCACTGGGTTGTTGTGGGTTTTTTCGGGCTATATGGCCATGTTCTAGAGGCATTCTCTCCTGACGTTTCGCCTGCATCTATGGCAAGCATCCTCAGAGGTTGGGAGGTCTGCTGGAAGTAGGAAAATGGGTTTATATATCTGTGGAAAGACCAGGGTGGTCTTTCACCTCTCAACAAAAGATTGCTCCATGCACTGCCAGGCAATCAAATGCTAATCAAGGTGGTCAGTTGAAACATTCACCCCTAGCTCCAGCAGACAAGAGTCCTTTGTCCTACCCTGGTCATTCCACAGATATATAAACCCTTTTTCCTAGTTCCAACAGACCTCACTACCTCTGAGGACGCTTGCCATAGATGCAGGCAAAACGTCAGGAGAGAATGCCTCTAGAACATGGCCATATAGCCCGAAAAAAACCTACAACAACCCAAAAAACACATATTTCTGATGGTCTTAGGAACACAGTACTCTCTGGTGAACTACAACTTCAGGACTCAAGGTCAATGCCCACCAAACCTTTCCAGTATTTTCTGTTGGTCATGGGAGTTCTGTGTGCCAAGTCTGGTTCAGTTCCATCATTGGTGGAGTTCAGAATGCTCTTGGATTGTAGGTGAACTATAAACCCCACCAAGTACCACTCCCACGAGACAAAATCAATATCCCCCCGCCGAACCCCACCACTATTCAAATGCAGGCATATCAGGTATTTGTGCCAAATTTGGTCCAATGAATGAAAATACATCCTGCATATCAGATAGAATCATAGTATCATAGAATCAAAGAGTTGGAAGAGACCTCATGGACCATCCAGTCCAAACCCTGCCAAGAAGTTAGACCACACCTGGAATATTGTGGCCATCTGTCAGGGGTGATTTGAATGCAATATTCCTGCTTCTTGGCAGAATGGGGTTAGACTGGATGGCCCATGAGGTCTCTTCCAACTCTTTGATTCTATGATTCTATGATTCTATGAAGCAGGAATATTGCATTCAAATCACTCCCGACAGATGGTCATCCAGCCTCTGTTTAAAAGCTTCCAAAGAAGGAGCCTCCACCACACTCCGGGGCAGAGAGTTCCACTGCTGAACGGCTCTCACAGTCAGGAAGTTCTTCCTCATGTTCAGATGGAATCTCCTCTCTTGTAGTTTGAAGCCATTGTCCCATTGCGTCCTAGTCTCCAGGGAAGCAGAAAACAAGCTTGCTCCCTCCTCCTCCCTATGACTTCCTCTCATGTATTTATACATGGCTATCATATCCCCTCTCAGCCTCCTCTTCTTCAGGCTAAACATGCCCAGCTCTTTAAGCCGCTCCTCATAGGGCTTGTTCTCC